GTCTCTTGATACTCGAGCTTACTGGAAACCAAAAGTTGCTGAAAACTTCCTTTGACTTTCTCTCAAGACAATCTGATTGGAGCAGCAAAAATTGGCTCTATGCCAGCTGACCGAATGATGCTCATGCAATACATAATTCACCTAGAAAGTGATCGGTTCCAATGTCGGCGCAAAACTCGCTTTTTTATGGGGATAATCTGTATGAAATTCCCTGAATTTTTTGGTCAATTTTCAAATTTCCTGACTTTTTACGGTTTTCCACGTAGCGTGGCAACCCTGATGGGAAAAACTCTTACCATGAAAAAATTCAAAATAATTTTTTAATTAATTACATAGCTATTTTGTTTTTGCTAAGAACTGTTTCATAAATGGTGCTTTATAGCATTATACCTCACTTATTTTTCACATTCAAAATATTGTATAATAAGTGGCCAAAATGGAACTTTATATTATGACAGCGAAAAATAAAAATGCTTTATTTTAATGTTATTTCTTAAATACAATTCCAAAAATATTACCATTATTTAAATGAAATTTATCAATGTGACAATGTTCTAAAAAAATCATCGAAACCTTCCCAGATCTCGGAATAAAAAATTTTCTATAGAAACTGATCTTAAAACCACTAAAATGTTGATAAGTTGCCAAATTTAGAACCGTGTAATAAAGGAATTCAATCCCCAAAAGCGAAAAGTTGTTTAAGAGCTCTTCATTAGAAAAAATGAAATAATTTTGAAACGCTCATGTTTCACTTCTTGTTCAAAATCTTGAGTATCCCATCATTTATATTAGAAATAAGAACAAATTATAACCCATGAATCCATTCAAAAGATAACCATATTTGTCAGTGGATCGCCAATAATATTCGTCAAAAATGTTAATTCACACTCAAAATGGCAGTCATAAAAGCAGACAGAAATTTCAGATGATTAAAATTAAGGATCTTCTGCCAATTTTGGCTGAAATTAAGGACCAAAAATCAATCCCAAAAAACTTAAGGACCGTACGAACCCTGATTTTTGCTTGCATTTAGGAGAACAGTTTTCAGGTTTATTTTGAGCATAATTGAATTTTTGGTCACATATTTTATATATAGTGTTTTTCCCCCCTCTGAATATAGAATTGTAGACCTTTCAACTTTGAACCCAGCAGGGCCTAGAAAAGCACAATCAGAATGCAAGATATGAACAAAAACACCTCTTGATGGTCTTCTGTCCCTATGTTAACAATATTTGGCGATTCTCATTAACCACTTGCGCTGAAAAGACATACCACACACATCGAGATGCTCATATCTCAAACCACGCGCAAAAATGAAAATAACGTGGTGCATACGTTGCCTAACAACGAGATTGTTTATTTCTCGAGTTACAGCTCTGGATTGCACTTGTAGACATGGAGCACCGTAAATGAGACACTTTACCGCTTGTTATATTGTAGCGCATGGCACCACAACCGTGAAGTTTAGTCGTAGTGCAAGTGGTTAATTTGATATGGGAAAAGCACATTTTTGAAAACATAAGAATTACCTCCTCCCCTAAAGCTTCTAGATGCTCATACAGCACCATGTAAATATAGCTCAAACAACCAGGATGAGTCAATTGCCATTCAGCACAAATATGTAAGCAGGATTTGAAAATAATAAACTATCTTACAACATTTCCCAGCTTATAGAAATGTTTTGATTCAAAAGCATCATCAAACTGTTCATAATGCTATTTGATATAGGGATAGTATTTATTTTTATTGGTTACACATACTGGGGAATAAGCTAAAAAATTACTTTCTCTTACTTTTATATAAAAAAGTTCGGAAAAAGTATACTGCATAAGCACAGCCTCAAGTATATTTCATTATTATTTTATTTAGCAATGGCAAAAACTAATTACAGGAAATTTATGAATGAAAATTCCTAAATACCTATAATATGAATACCATATTAAATTCTGAAGATTTATGTTCCCAGTGTAAGTCTTGGCACATGTTGAAGATATTTAGACACATAAAATGATGATGTCCCTGTTATTTGCAGATGTCAGATAATATAAATGACCGAATTCTATCTATTCAAAAATTTTGCCACAGAATGTTTTGGAGCAGTAAAATTCATCTTGCACTCTTTTTACAGTCAAATCAAAACAGCAAAAGCAAAGTTGAAAATTTAATGCTATTTTTTTAAATATGTAAAATATAAATAAATGATATTATAATTTTATTTACACATATCTGGAACACCAACTATCTGGATTTATTGAACAATTATAAGATATTCTTCAATGAGCTCATTTTTCTTAAAAAAGAAAAAGAAAAGAAAAAGTTCATTCCTGTTTAGTAAATTTCTGCATTGTTAAACTTATTGTATTTCAAGATAGTACTTTTCTGCATCTTTTCTCCTTTAACAGAAAACTGACGGGAAAAAACATGCAGTTTTTTTTTTCGAAGGTAGGTCTATACATAGACCTATTGGCATTTACAGAGTGACTTGAGTAACAAATTTAATATTTCAAAATTTATTACATACATTCTGGACAATTTGGAATTTTTCTTTACATACAGAAAGTATATATTCCATTTTCACTAAAAGACAACACCGAAAAAAAAAAAAATCTGAATTAACAATAGACTTTTGGTGCCAATAATAATTAAAGAGAAGCTATTAAATGTGATAATTAACTCTGCTGTTTGCTATATAAATGAATGAAGTGAATTCAAATTCAGTCCATCAGAAGATAGTTGCTTAATTTTTTTCCTCTCCTTATTTAATATAATTGTTTCCAAAGGTATATCCTAGTTTTTCTAGAAATATTTACACACTGTGCTACCTCAATTCTGATAATTCTGCTTTTAAATAACTAATTTGCAAAATTCGCAATGAACTCGAAGTTGATCTGCCAGCACTGTCCTTATCTTCAGGGCAGATGTTTTTATTTTATTTGCCTTATAATTCCTTACTAAATGTAGTATTTCATCTCAATGTACTCCGTCTTTGATATGATTTAAATCAGATTCCTCGTCATTATAATTCGCTTCCGATAGTGAAGAAAGTGACACAGAGGTTATTGAAAACAAAAAAATTTCGATTGACAAATTAGTCAGTATTCTCGACATAGCAATTATAAGACTTCAACAGCGGAACTTTGTAACTGAAGAAGAAATTATGTCTGTTTATAGAATTAAAGAGAAAGTATTATCGCATAAAAGAAGCAACTTGAACAACTTACATTGAAAAAAATGTTTAATAAAGTAAACAAATAAATATTAAGCTCTTTTTTTTTAATTTTTTATTTTTTTTTTAAATTTTGATACCCTTTAATCATAATTGTTCTTTATTTCATAAATTACAGTTTCAAATTTTTAATTTTATAATTTCTGCATGTCATCTTACCAGATTTAAACTGATGATCTTTAATCCGGAAAAATCGATAATTTGGAAGTCCCAACGAGTCCGGATCAACGACTTTTCACTGTATAAAGGTTTAAATAAATAACTTTATTTAAAAAGAACTTGGAACATAAAGGCACGTTCTTATGCTAACAAAATCAACTACAGCTTGTGGTGATGTAACTAAACTGAGACAGTCAAATTCAAACTAAAAATGTAGACTAGTAATGAAAGACTGCACAATTTAATTTTAATCTAAACTAGCTCAGTAACTCTATCCTTATAACGAATCCAAATGTCGGTAGCTATAACGCAAAGACGAATAATAACAAATTATCAGAGCTGGCAAGAACTAATGTAATGTGTAAGTGAAGGCTGGAAACACGCTCTGTCTTACAATCCAAAAACCTCAGTTTAAATATTATCTAACTGATTTGCCTTCTGGTGAGGAAAGAGAAAGGAGAAATTATAGTAAAGGCTGAAATTATAAACAACTGGTTAATATACATAATAATATCTACATAAAAAATAATTTTCTTTCTCTTTACGTATTCAGTTCCTTTCTTCAACATGTTTCTTCTTCATTTTAAAAAAACTACATGCATTTAGAATGTATAGAAGAAGCTGCTAATTTTATTGCTTTAGTACAATGAACATTCGTAATAAATATGAAATAATATATATTCAGGGCTGGTTATAGAGCCAGTACGGCAGAATTTTTAGAATTTAGTGATGAACCGAGTAACAAAACTTTTACTTTTGTTTTATTTTAACATTATTTCTTAAAAATAATATCAATAGATTACTATTATTTTAATGAAATTTATCAATGTTATAATGTTTAAAAAAAATCATCGAAAATTTACTAAATCTCTGAATTAAATATTTTCTACAGAAATTTATCTTTAAATTGCCAAAAATTTGATAAGTCGCCAAATTTAGCACCATTTAATAAAAGAATTCACACACACCCAAAATGAAAAGTTGATTAAAAGCTCTTCATTATGGGGGGGGGGATTGGAGTAATTTTGAAATGCTTCTGTTTCACTTCTTGCCCAGAAACTTAAGTATCACACCGTTTATTAAAAACAGGAACATATTATAACCCATTCAAAAGATAACCATACTTGCCAGTGCATCGGCAAAAATATTACTCTAAAATGATAATTCCCACTCAAAATGGCAGATGCAAAAACATACAGAAATTTCAAATGATTAAAATTAAGAACCTTCTGCTTTTTTTGGGGGGGGGGGGGCCTAAATTACTGTTAAGGATCAAAAGTTCATTCCAAAAAACCTAAGGACTATTAAGGACCGTATAAACTCTGATCTATGTTAAATGGGGCTGTATAGGGTTGGTTGGTTTGAAGGTTGAGAACCACCGACCTAAAGCATGCAGTCTTACATTTCCCATGTGAAAAATGCCTGGATATTAATATTTCATACCAAAACTACACAAAATACTTCAGAAATACAATGTGCATACTAATTTTAGAAATCTGTGGATATAAAACACAATTTTAAGTTATTTTTGAGTCTGCAAATATGAAATTACAAATGACATTAAAAATGCAGATAATAAATCTTGAGCTATGGAAGAATTTGAGCATAAACTTACTTTAAAAATGTCTCCTGCTGTTTGCTGATTTTGAGAAACAAAAAATGAATGATTTCCAAATGCAGTTTTAATTTCTGTAAAATTTTCCTCTTCTGCCTGTAAAAAAGTGCCATTTTTGAATTATTATATTACATACAAGAAATAAATCAAACATTACTTTTAGAAAACAAATTTATTTACACATACCTTTGTATTTTGCTCCATAAGATTGCAAACTGAAGATTTTATATTCTGCCCACTTTCAAATATGCTTTCATTTCTTGTAACAAACTAGATTAAATAACAATGATAAAGAACTAATGTCTAATTTAATGATACTGTTAACAGTATTTATTGAAAAAGATTTTAATGATTAAATACCATTTTTAAAGCAATTTTAATCACAACTTTAACTGCAGTAAAAATATGCTGTAGTTATTGATGTCCATTACGTGAGATTTTTAAAAACTATATTCTTACCTCTTTTACATTTATTGTACTTAATATATCATCTAAAATAGCCTTCTCTTTTTCAGTTTCTTCTGATGAGGGTATTAACATTTCCATAGGCCTAAGGTTAAAGGAAACATATAACTAACTAAAGAATGAATGAAAAGAAATTAACATCAACAGAAATACTTCTTTGAATCTGTTAAATTGTCATAAGTTAGAATATTAGGAAAATTGCATAACTTTGCTAAAGTGCATGTGAATTTTACTGCACAAATGTTAATTCTTTTTCCATTCTCATAAAAAATGGTCAACAAATTATTAAAATTTCAGATAAAACTGCACATAATATACTCATGTTACACAGAAAAATAAGTATTACAAAAGATTGCCTACCTTTCAATGTCTTTTAAGACTTCTATATTATCCTTTATTTTAAAACAAGTTCCTTCGAGCTAGGAAGGGAAATATATACTTAAAAATAAAGAGACTGAAAATTTCATTAATTCATACACTTTTCATAAAAATATATTCAAAATCTAGCTACAAAAAATTTTAAAAGGAGAGTTTTTAAAATTAATATATTTTTATCAAACATTGGATATTTTCTCTTCAAAGCAATTTAACTTTTTAAATATACTATATTTTCTTTTTGAAAATAAATAAATAAATAAATAAATAAAATAAAATAAATAATAATAATAACATATTTCCCATTGTTCAGTTCAAAACAAAGCTATTGCATTGTCAGGGACATTGTACCCATCTTTTTTTTAAATCTAGAGTTCTTCTATAAAACCATTATCAGTTTCTATGGATGGATTTTAAATAACTTTTATTACTCTTTAAAGATCATAAAAAAGTAAGACATTAAAATTAAAAAAATTATTAAAGTCTTCACCTAAAAATTTAGTAAAATTCTGAGAAAGCTTGACATTTGGGATATTACACAATTCTGAGCTAAAATACATATTACTGTTTTAAATAACACCAGTCACCACAATTTATATATTGAAAAAAGTTACCTCAAAAATACATTTATTCGTTTCTTTTTGACATTTGCTGTAAGTCTGAAGGGATGACATGATTTCTTGCAGCTCATTCAATTTCTTTGAGAAATCCTAGTTTTATTAAAATAAAACAATTACAGTGGTGTATTTAATAAATATAATACAATATTTTTGGTGCAAAAAATAGTTTAACAGTGTTCATTAATTTTGTTTAAGGCCTTCAATAAAACACACAACAACTAAATATTAAGATGCCTTTTTCATTAAAACTATAATAAGTTGTACTTAAAATTTCCAAATGAGATAAGGATATTTTCAATGAAGTGTCTGATGCACATTTAAATACTTGACTTGCAGCTTTTATATTGCATTTCCATAAAATTTGGTCCTTCTTTATAGAGAATTCTTACGTTTTCTATTGTTGGACAAAATGTCACATTTCTGAAAAAAAGTAATGCTTTTTTTTTTTTTTCCTCAACCAGCAAATTTTAAAGTCCCATTACGATTAATTGTGACAAAAACAAATGTACTCAGTACAAAAAAAAAAAAAAAAAAAAAAAAAAAAAAAAAACCATTAAAAAAAATGACTTGGAATTTTGAAAAGTGCGAATTCACATGTGCCTGCCATATAAATACGTTTTGGTGATGATGTAAGTAGACAGAAAATGCACATTTTTCTATGGCTTTTATATATTGCTTCTGATTTTTAAATTGCACAAAGTTTATTATTTGCATGCTATAAACATTTAGAAGTTATAAAATGTCTATCAGAGCAATCATAATGTTTCAAAAAATGACAAGTAACTATATGTTTTAAAATCAACTAATAACAGGGTTTAAAGTTTGCACTTCTAAAAGTTACTTTTCAATAAATATTATTTATTGCATATATTCTTTAACAATTTAATATCAACCTAATGAATGAAGGGTTGATGATAATCATGTAGCTGTCGTGTTATGTGAGCTACCACTTTTAAATGGTGACAATAAACACAATTTTAAAATCTGAATGCCTGATAAAATGGCAAAGGGAAAAACTATTAAAACAACAACAAATTTTAATGCTGCCATCTAAAAAATATATAACTAATTAAAAGTGACATGTTGCATACCAAACGGTTATTAAAACAATTAATAAAATAAATATTTATGTCAATATTTATTTATTTAAATAAATAAATAATAAAAATAATAAATGTTATGCCACTCAGAATGTTAAGTAGCAATATTTTATAATCTGAACTTAAAACACATACATGAAATACCCTTATCACTTCCATAATGTCAAATTTTTTTAAAATTAAAAATACAACTAATAAAGGCAAATAATATTCATATTAAGAAAAGAGAAAAACACAATTTCTTAAAATCTTTTAAGTAAACAGAAAAAATAGCATACCTCTTGCAGATTAGTTTGAGTAGTCGAAATAAATTGTGTCTGCTGCTGGAATTCTTTAAGCAACTGCTCATGATGCTCATAAAATGTCTTCAGATTTTTCTTTATATTATTCAAAAAATCTTTTTTTTCTGCAGCTTTACAAATAAGTGCACCTTTCTGTTTTTCTATCTGCAATCAAGTCACACTTAATATATTTTTCCAGTACTTTCATAAAATTAATGAATAAAAATAGATTAATTAGTAATTTTACTATAAATATCGAAACATGCAATTAGCTTAATATTTCTAATATATCATACATATTTTGAAAATAACTACAAAATTAAATCCAAGCACACATGAAAATGTTAAAATAGTATGGCAATGAGATAGGATTTTAGCTTTTATTAAATTTCAAAACAATTGATATTTTGTATTTGATTTTAACTGGATACTTTGAAAGACGTGTAGTTATGAAACATCATAAAGTGATTAGAATTTTCATGGATGCTACAATGGATATATATATAAACAATTTGACAAATATTAATAAAATTTAGTCAAAATTTTTATATTTAAAATAATATTAAGCACTAAAATATGATAAATATTTCTAAAAATTTTGTATATCTCATGATATTTCATACTTCCCAACATTTTACCTGAATTTTCTCACATTCACAAATTTAATGGTTCAAATTCAACATAAAAAATTCATTGAAAAAGAGAATTAAGGCCACAAAATATGTTTACACTTGGAAACGTATAAGTGGTTTCAAATTAATCTTGAAATTAATATCTCAACATTAATCACGGACATTAGTATTCTGTTCTACCTGTGGCTGAATGGTAAGGAATGAATTAGTGAATGCTAGTAGTTCGACCTGGTTCTGATCCTAAGCATGTGAGCTGGTTGCATGTTTGGCTTTCATGGGTTAACTCATGTGTAATGTGAATACAAGCCAGTGTCCCTTTCTCCAGGAAGATAATCCTCTCCCTAGACAGATAAATCCTCATGTGTTTTGCCATATTCAAACAACCTAACCTAATCATTAGGTTGCTGTTATCACGGACACAAGTCTTCAACTTTTAAAAATGCACTACATCCAAAATAAAAAACAACAGAAGGGCAAAAAATTAAATTTGAAAAAACTGTCTTAAAACATTTAATCTCTTGAGGGTATCGAAATCATTGATTATAATAAATGAATATTAATTTGTACAAGTGAAAAAGATTGTGCTTCAAGTTTTGAATTATAATAAAACTTTTTCCTCAGAAAATCATCATTAAATAAAATTTACATAATTCTAAATTCTTCCCAGTTTACATGAAAATATTTGAAGAACTTCATGTTGTAGTTAACAAGATCTTTAGGATTTCTTCCAATTATGTCATATACACTTTAAATCCATGACACAAAAAACATTACAGGAGATATGAAATTACTTTTGTACTACTTAAAAATTATATGAAAAGATAGAACTAACAATAAAGGCACATTTATCAAAAATGCAATAACATTAAAATTATATACCTTTTGATGTATATTAGAGTAGGCATTTTGAAAGCAGTCTCTCATTTCAGTGTTAACTGCATTTAATTGATTGAGCAATATTGGGAATTCCTCAGATAAAAACATGTGTTTATGAGATATATTTGAATCCTGGAAGAAAAAAGCACAACAAATTTAAAGAGGAAAATATATAAAAACTCTCTTAAGAAACAATACTTTATCCAATATGAAATAATATTTTGCCCATTCCATATAAATAAATAAACAAACAAATAAAAAGCCTTTTTTAAATACAGAAAGTTTTTACAGTTATTAAATTATCTAACGTACATTTAACAAGTAAATCGATTACAGGATTTAAGCGAGTAATACAGTACCCCCCCCAAAAAAAAACACGAGACCAAGGTGGGGGTTGTTTAACAAAATTTCACCTGCAAATGCATTTTAACCCAATATGCAAATTGCATAATTTTGGTAGCCAATGAATGAATAAATGAAGCTACAGAGCACTACAAAAAAGCATCTGGATAGTATACAAAAGAAGGAAAATCCAATTCTATTTCATAACATTCACTGACCCACTTTAACTGCAAAAGTACCTCATAAATTGATTTGTATATTGCACACCAATTTTCAATCAGCCTTAGATGTGCTCGAAGTTTGGCTTGGAGTAATGATGCCATTCGATGTTGGAAGGTTTGGCTGGCAGGGTTTAGAAAAAAGCAGCAGTTGATTTAGGAAGACGACAATGCGATTGTTAGACCAGATTTAGTGTCATCTGATTCATCGTTATCAATGATCTGCCATGTAATTGGGATACCAGTGACCTAAAACTAATAATAGAAAACTCATGAATAGGATCTAAACTCACAATACCCACTCCTTCTCACATCTGCATGCCAATAAGTGTGTTTGCAATGATGTCAGCATTATTCAACCTGAAATTTCACTGAATTGTTGTATTCAATTACACATGATTGTAGCAGAATGATATTCAGTGATTCCTGCTTCGAAATGAGCCATGATCACAAGTGAAAATATGTCCGAAAAAACCCAGGCCAGCAGTTATACATTGAACTAAATGCTATCCATTACAATTCTGATAACAGGGCTGTCAACTTATGCTGTTGTCAGTGACACTCTTACAACAACACACTGCAGATAATCTATGCCCCACTGTGTTGCCCTTCCTTCAGGACTTAAACTTCAACGGTATAAAGGCTTGCCACATATGGGAATAATTTCTAATGATTATCTTCATACTTATGGAACATTTTCTTAGCTAGGATAGACTGCCAGATCTCTTCTCAAAGCAGCATGTTTGGCTTCTGATTGGCAGATGCCTCCGATCTTCCAAGGATGTCACTCATCTAACTCAATAATTGGAGAGAGTCAGGCAAAAAATCCTGAAGGTCATTTGCCAACTCTATGAGTCATTGCCAAGCCAGATAATAATTTGCATAAAGTGACAGAAATGAGCCAATAAATACTTAATGGATTTATTTGTTATATGCAGCTGTATGTCTAAATAAATTATTTCAAATCTACCAAAATCCATGCCATTTAGATAATTCCTTTTTAATGTCCCTCTCTCAGTCTTCATTCAGCAGCATTCATTCTCTGATAAGTGACAAATAGTTGCAGCAATATGAAGAATTCATTTTAAAAATCTGATGTATGCACCACGACTTCCTTGTACAGAATATTAAATTATATGCATTTTTTCTTGCATTTCATTAAAACTTATTGGATTGAATTAAATCTACTTCGTCGATAGCGCATAAATCACAATAAAATAAATGCACTCTTTAAAATTCACTATATTTGTTTACCATAGCGACACTCTGGCGCTAGGTTCACATAACAGCGTTACATTTTGTTCATATTATAACTCAGAATGCACAAAACTCATACCATTTGAAGAATTATCTAATCGTTGCCACATGTTCTACTCAAATACTATAATAAATCCAAAATGATGTATAAAAGAAATTCAGCAAACAAAACAAAAAAGAAACAGTTTTTCACAGACGATTCAGTATTTCTCATTCAATTAATTCAGTTCTCACTTCTCGACAAGGCAAAAATACATAAAAACTCAAAATATCTATATTAAAGATTACAAAGTAAATCTTATAAACACTTATTTTCTCGAATAAATTCCATAATGGATTAATTCGCAATAATAAAAGGTGGCATTATCTTTGTTGTTGCAAAGCTTAGTTTCTCTAGATTGGCAACAAATCCGCTGTTCTACCAAGTCTCAAATGTAAACAAACATGGACACCATCACAGAAATAATAGGCTTAGCCGCACTTAAACAACTTTTAAATTGTTGATAACTCTAACAAATATTGCATGCAGATTTACTAAAGGCATAAAAACCTTAACCAGAAGATAAGAACAACATAATTCAATCATTTTTAAAGCAACAAATGCACAATTTACGAACATATAAAAGTAAAGAAACTGAGATCACCGAGCTGGGTAACAGAGTAGATACATATATTTATATAGATTTGGTGCAACCGATTACAACCAAAATACGAGGAGCACATCTACATGTTATAGCAGTCCTGTATACAAAATTTTACCGTTCTGAGGCTACTCGTTTTTGAGTTATAAGACATACGTACGTACATGTATGTACATAAGAACAGACCCCAAGAAAATTCTCTTCATTTTAAATCAGTTTTATAACTTTTTTTTTTGGACGAAAAGAGTCTTTTATTCTGTCCTTCCGTACAGATATCACGCAAAAACATCATTAAATTGCATTTGATAGCGGTCAAAATTGATATTTTCGTTGAAATATGATGGCTGAAACTTTTAGTGATTGCAGTACTTCCTTTTTACTTCGTACAAGGAAGTAAAAAGGTATCGAAACATTTTTGTTTTTCTCTTTGTCTGTATTGTCTTATCTTTATCTATTTTCAGATACATTGTACAAGGAAGTAAAAAAGGAAATAGAATAATATTTAATTTCAAAATGCACATAACATGAAACCATAAAATATAGTTGGATACACAGCTTCAGCAAATATAAAAAATTTTTTCCCCTTAACCTTCTAAGCACCAAACCTTTATAGTTGTTCGGCTTAATATAGCACCCTCTTGTGAGAGGAGCCAAATTTAGTGGAGTTGGTTGTTGAAGAATGTATGCAGCGGACCTATGGTGCGTTCGCTCATTCCACCTTGTCTGTGCTAATGGAGCACTTAACTTGTAACTTTGTACATTATGTAAATAATTAAATATTTGTGTGGCCTAACTTAGTTAGTTTTATTTTGGAACCAGCGCCATTATCTCTCGTAACTCATTGCATTTTATACCAAACAAAATTTATGCCTGAAAGGATGATACTTCTGAATAAGAAGAGGAATTATTAGATATAGAAGCAAGAAACGACGATTTAGAGGTAAGTTTCAATCAAATGTTAATTGATAATGTTGCTAGTATTAATAAAGTTGATATCATAAAGAGTAGTTGTAAAATAAAGTTACCTGAAATTCCACTTCCGCAATTTAGTGGAAAGTATGAAGAATGGAGCATGTTTAAAATTGAATTTTAATAATATTGTTACCTTGAATACTCAATTAACAGATGCACAAAAGCTACATTATCTGCATGCCACTCTTAAGGAAGAAGCAAAATTGTTGCAAACTCAGGAAGATACTTTAGAATCATTATTTAAGGCTTTAGAAAATCGCTTCGAAAACAAGAGAATTCTTGTTAATATTCACATTAAAGCTATCAGTAAAAATCCTTTCCTTATTTCAATATAATGAATATTGAATCTTGTAGGAAGAATAAAGCTAATTTTTCAGAATAAACAAAATACCTTTATTTAAATTTTAAAACAGAACCAAAAAAAATAAATACTGCAGCTCTAAACTATCAAAATTTTAAACTCTTAATTACTGCAGTTAAAACTCTTACAACTATTCAAAAATTAAAAAAATTCAACTCTCTAAACAAAAATATATATAAAAATCTTTCGAATCCTCTTCTTGTTGCCACACCGTAAAATGCAAGTTCTTGTCCTATTATTTATATTTCACGTTCTCTTTAAGTCACGATCTTCACAAGTCATGATCTTTACAAATCACGATCTTTACAAGTCCCTCCCACAAGAAGCACATTCGTCACCGTAGAGACAATGTTGCTCAGAGTTCATTGAGAGAGAAAGAGTTAACAGCTAACCTTGACAAAGCATCAGCATTCCCATGTGAACTTCCTTTGCGGTATGTCACAGTCATGTTATACCGTTGTAACGCTAAGGCCCAACGAGACAGTTTAGCACCATGAGGGGCGCTTTGGGTCAAGTAGGTGAGGGGATTGTGATCAGACACAATCTGCACTTTGGCACCGAAAATCCATGTGTCAAATTTTTTCAAGGCTTCGATGACACAAAATGCTTCTCGTTCGATGGTTGACCATCGTTGTTGACAGGGCGTTAATTTCTTGCTGAAAAATGCTATGGGCATTTCTTTGCCATGTTCGTCGTTTTGAGCTAAACACGCTCCAATTGCGAAAGCAGATGCATCCGTATAGAGTTGAAAGGGCTTGCTGATGTCCGGAGTATGCAGAGATGGCATTTTAATCAACTCTTCTTTAAGTTTGTTAAAGCTGCTTCTTTTTCAGAGTCCCATGGAATATTATTTGGAACACTCTTCTTTGTAAGGTTTGTTAGAGGTTAAAACAATCTCAAAAAAAATTTGGGATATAATCCCTATAGTAGCTTGCTAGCCCTAAAAGACTCCTGACTTCTTTTTTTAGTGGTAGGCTTATTAGACAGATTTCTGATGACTTCTACTTTCTCAGGATCTGGAGAGTGAGTGCCAGAACCTATTACATGTCCTAGAAACTTCACGTGACTCTTTCCGAAATCACACTTTTCTAGATTTGCGGTTTAGACCTGCGTTTCTCAGTGTCTGAAACACTTGGTCGATGTGATAGATAGAGGTGGCCATCCCAAGTTTCAGAAAATATTGCCACATCATCAATATATGAACGGCAGTAGTTTCTTATGGTTTGCAAGCACCTTATCCATCGATTTTTGGAAGGTACTTCCAGCATTTTTCAAACCGAAAGGGAGAACTTTCCATTGGTAATGGCCGGAATGAGTGATAAATGCTGTGTAGGGTTTAGC